AACATGGTGAAACCCCGTCTCTACTAAAAATACAAAAATTAGCTGGGCATGGTGGCGCACGCCTGTAGTCCCAGCTACTAGGGAGGCTGAGGCAGGAGAATTGCCTGAACCCAGGAGGCGGAGGTTGCGGTGAGCCGAGATCGCGCCATTGCACTCCAGCCTGGGTTAACAAGAGCGAAACCCCGTCTCAAAAAAAAAAAAAAAAAAAAAAAAAAAAAAAAAAAAAATATATATATATATATATATATATATATATATAAAATAATAATAATAATACAAAAATTGGCTGGGCATGGTGGCATACACCTGTAATCCCATCTACACAGGAGGCTGAGGTAGGAGAATTGCCTGCACCTGGGAGGCAGATTTCAGTGAGCCGAGATCGTGCCACTGCACTCCAGCCTGGGTGACAGGGTGAGATTTTGTCTCAAAAAAAAAAAAAAGAAAAGAAAAAGAAAAGAAAAGAAATAGCATAAATATCTTGGTTAGATTACAAGGACATAGAATGTACTACGTGCCCATGAGCATGGTAACAGCTACACAGGATAGGGCTTAACAAATAGCTACTAGCAAAAAGCAAGAAGGCTTTGAAAAAAGTTTAAAACAAACTATTCTTTCTAACACTTATGGTTATTTTTTAACAAGAAAGGAAACTTTGAAGAGGAACTTTTGCACTTCTCACACTGACGATGTTACAGATTCAAGCAGGGATAAATACTTGAACTGAAAATGGTGTTCCTTTCACTTGGAAGCCAGCTGGCACCTGTTTTCATGCTCTGCAGTCAACCCGTCTATGAGTTGCAAGCTGGCCTGTCCGTCATTGTGTCTGAAATTGACCTGAGAAATATTAAGCACTGGAAAGATTGAAAAAAAGGGGCCACCTACTTAAGGTTTTACCCAAGTTGGGCCAAATGTGATTACTCACAATTGTATTCCCAGCATTTTGGGGGGCCGAGGCAGGATGATTGTTTCAGTCCATGAGCTCGAGATCAGCCTGGGCAACATACGGAGAGCACATCTCTACAAAAAATACAAAATTAGCCTTGGTGGAGTGTGCCTGTGGTCCCAGCGATGAGGAACTCTGAGGTGGGAGGATTACTTGAGCATGGGAAGTGGAGGCTGCACTCTGAACTCCAGCATGGGCAACAGAGTGAGACCCTATCTCAAAAAAAATTTTTTTTTACTCAAATATAAAAAAAGATCTCCCAGTGGGGAGTTTAATAAGATTAGTGAGAAAAATAAAGTTGTTTCTATTCACATAAAGAAGGCCATTACAGTTAAGGAACCATTTGTTCTAGTTTTTTCTTTCTTTATTTTTGAGATGGAGTCTCACTCTGTCACCCAGGCTGGGGTGCAGGGGCGCTGTCTCGGCTCACTGCAGCCTGTGCTGCCCGGGTTCAAGCGATTCTCCCGCCTCAGCCTCCTGAGTGGCTGAGATTAGAGGCACCTGCCACTGTCTCCCCACCCCCCCACGCCTGCTTTGTTCTAGTTTTTTTTTTTTTTTTTTTTTTTTTTTTTTTTTGAGACGGAGTTTCGCTCTTGTTACCCAGGCTGGAGTGCAATGGCGCGATCTCGGCTCACCGCAATCTCCGCCTCCTGGGTTCAGGCAATTCTCCTGCCTCAGCCTCCTGAGTAGCTGGGACTACAAGAGTGCACCCCCATGCCCAGCTAATTTTTGTATTTTTAGTAGAGACAGGGTTTCACCATGTTGACCAAGATGGTCTAGATCAATTGACCTCATGATCCACCCGCCTCGGCCTCCCAAAGTGCTGGGATTACAGGCTTGAGCCACCGCGCCCGGCCTATGTTCTAGTTTTTTATAAAATGGCAGTGTGTCTAGTGGCTCAAATTGTAAAGTAATAGCAACACCCCTCCCCCCACCCCACCCCACCCAATGTCTTAAATTAGGTGGGGAAACAGACAAGAAACACCCAAATGGCTAATTAAAAAAATGACGCACTTATGATCTGAAGAAATTCCTAATAGAGCGGCTAATACAAGGAAAGATAATGCCTCCAGGGGATGCTCCTCAAAAGGCGGTGTGAAAAGGAGGCCTCAGAAGGGCAAGCAGCCGGGGGCGGTGGCTCACACCTGCAATCCCAGCACTTTGGGAGGCGGAGGCAGGCAGATCACGAGGTCAGGAGTTCAACACCAGCCTGGGCATCATGGTGAAACCCCGTCTCTACTAGAAATACAAAAATTCCCCGGGCGTGGCGGTGAGTGCCTGCAGTGCCAGCTACCCGGGAGGCTGAGGCAGGAGAATTGCTTGAACCTGGATATCAGAGGACGCGGTGAGACAGCATCACTGCCCTCCAGCCTGGGCGATGGAGTGAGACTCAGACTCAAAAAACAAAAACAAAACTGCCAGCAAAGAGTAAAACAGTAGGTGCCAGACTAGCGGGGAGATAGAGGAGGCGATGGATATTTCCTTACACCCAAAAGCTCACTGATTTTGTGACTGACTGATTGGATCTGGAGGTAAGAGGGACTGACTCCAGACTTCCAAGCGGAAAGTGCGGAAGCCACTTTATCCTCACAGGGAATAAAGACGTGGGAGACGCTGTCCCGTTGTAGGGAGACTGTGTCCTCTCTGGGAGGACTGCAAGCTCTGCCCAGGTGCCAACGTCCTAGGGAGGAAGCCAGGCAGGGAAGGGCTGAGGCCGAGAACCCGCATTTCCGCCCAACTCTTTTTTTTTTTTTTTTTTTTTTTGGTTTCTCATTGGATTATTTAATAATAGAATTACATGGTTTTGGCTCCAGTGTGTCCAACTGCAAATGTGACAAGTACATCCGTCAGCACCGCTCTTTCCTTGCAGAAGCAGACTTGCCCTTGGCTGCTGCCTGTGGACCCAAATCAAGCCTGGGTGCGTCTGACAGAATACCAGGGCACGGTCTGCCTCCCGGCCCTCCATCGCTACTGTGTGGCTACAGCTTGAGTCCCCCAGGCATCGGCTCCCCTCTCAGGCCAGCCAGCGAGCTGTTAGCTGCCAACAAGGACATAGCGTTGCGGGTTCTGTGGGTGGCACTGCCAATGTGGGCAGGATCCCACAGTTCTTCCGGGATAGGAGAGGGTGGTTTGTCGGCAGTGGTTCTGGGGTCGTCACATCTAGTCCAGCAGCTGCAAGCTGCCGCTGGCCAAGGCCTGGTACCAGTCATCCTGGTTGACGACATTGCCCCTGCGGCTATTGACAAATACAGATGTTTCCTTCATCTTCTGGAAGAAGTCCTTGCTGCAGAGTCCCTTGGTTGCTGGCGTCAGGGAGCAGGACACCACGATGAAATCAGACTGGGCAGCCAGCTCAGGGGTAGACACAAATTCCACCTGCAATTCCGCTGCATCCGAAGGCCTGGGCTGGCGCCCTATATATGGAAATCTCTGGGTGCCAAATGGTTTCAGACGCCGAGCAATGGCCTGGCCTCTACGGCCCAGCCCGATGATGCCGCCAGTGCTGTGTGAGCCCGTAGCCACACAGCCAGAGGGGCTTCCACGAGGTCCAGCCGCCATTCTTCACTTCTTCGATGGCCTCCAGCAACAGGTGGTAAGCAGCAGGGAGACTGCAAGTTCATGGGTGGCATCCGTCAGGACATCTGGGGTGTAGCCCACTCGGATCCCACGCTTCTTGATTTCATCCAAAGCCAAGTGGTCAACGCCCACGGACAGGATGCTGAGACTCTGAGACTGGCCCCTGCGGCATCCAGGGGCCTCTTGTCCATGCGGTCGGAGAGGAGGCTGAGCAGGCCGTGCGCCCCTGTCACCTCTCGCTCCAGCTCCTTGTCCGGGACGTGCTCATCGGAGTCCCACTGCTCCACCTCACAGCCTGAGGCCTGGGCGAGCGCGACCCTGCCCTCGGTGGGGGGGGGGGGGGTGTCCTGCGGGTGACACACACCTCCATGGCACGCTTAAGAAAATGGATGAGTTCTGTTTTTGAATATGTATAAATGATCCTTTTGATCCAAATTGTTTTTAGAAGAATGACCTAATTGAGCAGCTATGGCTTAAGAGCATAATTGTGCTTTCAGAATTGTTCTAAAAAAAAAAAGATTTTACATCGCCTGTCATTCAATGCAGAGGCAGTGCAGCTGGGAAACTGCCCAATCAGGATCCTGGGAGCCAGAGCACTGTTCAATCAGAGGCGCCGAGGTCTTGAGTGCCATCCAATTACAGTGCGGAGGTGGGTCTTCCCCAGAGTCCTGTCCAATCAGGGCCAGGGGGAGGAACTTCGCGCGCCACGCCTACCCTGCGCGGGTGGGGCTCCGCTGCAGCCGCAGGACATGGTGAGTGCGGCGCGGAGTCGATCCCTGGGCCGGGCGGCAGGAACCGGCGTCCGCCTGAGTCCTCGGCCGCGCGGAGCTGAGGGACAAGCTCCTGGGCCCCTGGGGTCCGTCCCCACCCCGTCTCCCGCGCTGAGGCCGCGCTGGGGAGCTCTGGTCCCGGCGGGAAGCTCCGAGTTCCCGCCCGCCCCTGGCGCCGAGGCTGCAGAGCGGAGAGCGGCGCCCCGAGTCCCCCGCCGTCCCAGGCTCCCGCGTTCCTGCGCTCCAGACTCCCCTCGCCCAGCCCGGGGCCGCGGCTCCTCTGAAGCAGGGTCACCCCAGACCCCGCAGTGCTGTCCTGGCTCCCCCGGGACCCGCCCTGGCGCCGACACCGCGGGACCTTCTAGGGTTCGGGTCCCTGGTCGGCGCCGCCTCCGCCCGCTCCTCCGCAGCTCAGCTCCTGGGGGGCCCCGCACCTATCTAAGGACAGCCCGGGAGCTGTGGCGGCCTCAGCAGGGTGGGCGGGGCCGGGCGGGGGGCGTCCCCGGAGCCCCCACCTGCAAAGGCAGCCCCTGGAGCGCGCGAGGTTTCGTCCCCTGAGTCTGGGTTTTCCCTCTTGGGCACTTCCTGTCCCCTCTGACCTCAAGATGCCTGGCGTAGGGAAGGGGAAAAAAAACAAGGGTTCCTGGCCCCTGGGTTCTCACACACAAGGAAGAGAAGTCACTGAAGAGGCCAGAGAAACAGGGGACAGCAAGGACCCCGAAAGCAAATGCCTGCAGACCCACCGTGGGGACGCCTGGGAGGCTGGGGCATTCGTTTTACAGGACAGGACTGCAGTAACCACTGACCGCAAACGAGGGGGTAAAACCACAGAACCAGAATTTGTTGCATATTTTAGGGCTCCGTAGTCTTTGAGGATGTAGCTGTGAACTTCACCCCAGACGAGTGGGCTTTGCTGAGTCGTGCTCAAAGGCGCCTCTACAGAGACGTGATGCTGGAGAACTTCAGGAACCTGGCCTCCCTAGGTAAGGATGACGCTGCTCCTTCCCTCCGTCCTGCAGAGTCCCAGATTCCCTAGCTCTGGCGTTCCCTCCAGAACGTGCGCTGAACCGCAGGAGTTTACCCTGGTGAGACCCATGTGCGCATCTTCCTGATGGAGCTTGTCATCCAATAGCTTCCTCGTGGGTGGATAGAACTACTGTTTTCGCTCCTGAGTGCTGCTGGCCTCTGAAGGGTTTTGACTCCGCCTTTAGGAGAGGAGCCCTTTTTGAGGAGCATTCCACTGGGAAAGAAGAACGAGTAAAATCCCATCCCACTGAGGAAGCTGAATTTGGCGAATCCCTTGGCGTCCTTGACTTTTCTTTTCTTTTTTTTTTTTTTTTTTTTTTTTTTGAGACGGAGTTTCGCTCTTGTTACCCAGGCTGGAGTGCAATGGCGCGATCTCGGCTCACCGCAACCTCCGCCTCCTGGGTTCAGGCAATTCTCCTGCCTCGGCCTCCTGAGTAGCTGGGATTACAGGCACGCACCACCATGCCCAGCTAATTTTTTGTATTTTTAGTAGAGACGGGGTTTCACCATGTTGACCAGGATGGTCTCATCTATTGACCTCGTGATCCACCCGCCTCGGCCTCCCAAAGTGCTGGGATTACAAGCTTGAGCCACCGCGCCCGGCCACGTCCTTGACTTTTCATCCACCCTCTCAGAATGTCCTGAGAGAAAGACCGTCCGTATTTCCTCTTTCGAGGTTAGGAGGTGGGCGTGTGCATGTGGCCACCTCATTTCCATGTTGCTTTTCAGACAGCAGCACATGTATGTCACCATTTGGCTCAGTCTTCTGGGGAGAATTTTCAGTAGTCTGTCTACCATGTCGGCTTCTTATCCTTACTTTTGTCAAAGTCTTGAAGCAGCTAAATCTCCTTCTAGTCTTTTTTCTTCTTTTTGCTTAAAAGGGCATTTTTTTTTTTTTTTTTTTTTTTTTAGATGGAGTCTTGCTCTGTTGTCAGGCTGGAGTGCAGTGGTGCGATCTCGGCTCACCGCATCCTCCGCCACCTGGGTTCAAGCAATTCTTCCGCCTCAGCCTCCCGAGTAGCTAGAACCACAGGCACGCGCCACCACGCCCGGCTAATTTTTTTGTATTTTTAGTAGAGACGGGGTTTCACCATGTTGGCCAGAATGGTCTCGATCTCTTGACTTCATGATCCACCCACCTCGGTCTCCCAAAGTGCTGGGATTACAGGTGTGAGCCACCGTGCCCAGCCAGGGCATTCTTTCTTATAACATTTGTTTATTTTGGGGTCACTATTTGAAAATAAATGTTCATGTTCCCTACTTATTTTCTTTCCTTCATCCTATCAGTTCCTTCCAAAGAAAGTAAATTTTGTTGCTGTTTATTTCATACTATGACACTCAGCTTAAAATTAATGGAAGAAGCTGGGCGCAGTGGCTCACGCCTGTATTCCCAGCACTTTGGGAGGCCGAGGCAAGTGGATCACAAGGTCAGGAGTTCAAGACCAGCCTGACCAAGATGGTGAAACCCCATCTCTACTAAAAACACAAAAATTAGCTTGAACCCAGGAGGCGGAGGTAGCAGTGAGCCGAGATCATGCCACGTCACTCCATCCTGGGTGACAAAGCGAGACTCTGTCTCAAAAAAAAAAATACTAATAATAACGGATGAAATCCTCTACAGCATGTATTTGGGAAAGAAATCCGAGGGGGATGGAATCGGTTATTCTTCACAAAAATGACACCTCGCTTGTTTATTTTAGGAGAAGAGTGGAACAGCCACAGCATTGAAGATCAGCGCAAGAATCAGGTGACACATTGGAGGTAGGTCACTTTCACACGAGAGAAAGAAGTCTCAGCAGAGAACAGTAGTGCGCCATTTCAGCATGTGTGCAGATGTAAGTCAGGTAGTATGCAGTCACAGAAAATTTTCACAAGGCAGTTTAGAAAAGCGATGCAGATGCTGAAAGACACAGTTCACTTGTAAATAAATATCAAGGAAACAAACCCATGTTAAAAAAAAAAAAAAAACACTGAAAATGATCCCTGTGGTTCAGACCTCCGTCAGAGCATTCCACCCATACCACTTTGGTTATTTTCTTTTGTTTTTTTGGGGGGGGGGTTTTTTCTTTTTTGAGACTGTGTCTCACTCTGCCCCCCAGGCTGCAGCACAGTGGCGTGATCTTGGCTCACTGCAACTTCTGTCTCCTGGGTTCAACTCATTTTCCTGCCTCAGCATCTTGAGTAGCTTGGATTACAAGTGCCTGCTACCATGCCCAGCTAATTTTGTTATTTTTAGTAGAGACGGTGTTTCACCATATTGGCCAGGATGGTCTCATACTCCTGACCTTTTGATCAACCCACCTCACCTCCTCAAGTGCTGGGATAACACAGGCATGAGCCACCGTGCCTGGCTGGTTTTGTTTTGTTTTCTTTTTTGAGACAGAGTCTTGCTCTGTTGCCCAGGCAATCTTGGCTCACTGCAACCTCTGTCTCCTGGGTTCAAGCAATTGTCCTTCCTCAGCCTCCCAAGCAGCTGGGATTACAGGCACACACCACCATGCCCAGCTAATTTTTGCATTTTTTTTTTTTTTTTTTTTTGAGACGGAGTTTTGCTCTTGTTACCCAGGCTGGAGTGCAATGGCGTGATCTCGGCTCACCACAACCTCCGCCTCCTGGGTTCAAGCAATTCTCCTGCCTCAGCCTCCTGAGTAGCTGGGATTACAGGCACGCACCACCATGCCCAGCTAATTTTTTGTATTTTTAGTAGAGACGGGGTTTCACCATGTTGACCAGGATGGTCTCGATCTGTTGACCTCGTGATCCACCCACCTCGGCCTCCCAAAGTGCTGGGATTACAGGCTTGAGCCACCGCGCCCGGCCTAATTTTTGCATTTTTACTAGAGATGGAGTTTCACCACATTGTCCAGGCTGGTCTCGAACTCCTGACCTCAGGTGATCTGCCTGCCTCAGCCACCCAATTTCTGGGATTACAGGCATGGTCCACCACGCCAGTCCTGTACTTGTATTTTTAGTAGAGACGGGGTTTCTCCATGTTGGTCGGGCTGGTCTCTAGCTCCCAACCTCAGGTGATCCACCCACCTCGGCCTCCCAAAGTGCTGGGATTAAAGATATAAGCCACTGTGCCCAGCCCCGCTCATACCACTTTGAAACAATTCCCAAGTCAAAAAATATACATTCATTGGAAATGGCGGGAATGCAGTCATACTAATCAGTAAAATCCATCAGCAAATCACTAACAAATAAATAATATGATCCTTATTTTTAACAGAAGTCATGTCCCAGAGATACTCTCAGAAACTAATGAAAGTAATCACTATGGAGAAACTTTCGACCAGATTCCAAAACTTAGTGAGCATAAGGGTCTTGCAGCTGGAGTAAAAACCTACAAAAAGAACAAGTTTGAAAAAGCCATCATGGATGCTTCATCCCTAAAGAGTCGCATAGCAGCATGTCAACATGGACAAAGACCCTATCAGTGCAAGGAATGTGGGGGAACTTTTCTCTGCTACTCATCCTTTAGAGCACACGTCAGAGCTCACACTGAAGAGAAACCTTATGCATGTAAAGAATGTGGAAAAGCCTTTATATACCTCTCCAAACTCAGAGCACATATAAGAACGCACACTGGAGAGAAACCTTACGAATGTGAAAAATGTGGGAAAACCTTTCGCTCTCCCTCAAATCTTTGGACACACAAAGAAACGCATACCGTAGAGAAACCCCACGCTTGTAAAGAATGTGAGAAAGCTTTCTCTTCTCTCTCGTCACTTAGAAAACACCGGAAAGTTCACAGCACAGAGAAAGCCTATGAATGTAAGGAATGTGGGAAAGCCTTCCTTCATTCCTTCTACCTGATCATACATGCCAGAATGCACACTGGAGAAAAAGCCTACAAGTGTGTGGAATGTGGGAAAGCATACAGTTGGCCCTCAGACCTTAGGATTCACATGAGAACACACTCTGGAGAAAGGCCTTATGAATGTAAGCAGTGTGGAAAATCCTTCAGCTCCCCCTCATCCTTTAAGGGACACATAAAAACTCACACTGGAGAGAAGCCCCATGCCTGTAGGGAATGTGGGAAAGCCTTCAGTAGTCCCTCATACTTCAGAACACACGTGAGAATTCACACTGGAGAAAAACCCTATGTGTGTAAGCAATGTGGAAAAGCCTTCAGTTGGTCATCATCTTTTCGGGGACATTTGCAAACTCACAGTGGAGAGAAACCCTACGAATGTAAGGAATGTACAAAAGCCTTCAGTAGACACTCATCCTTACAAAGACATGTGAAAATTCACACTGGAGAAAAACTCTCTAAATGTAAGCAGTGTGGAAAAGCTTTTGGAGGTCTCCCATCCCTAAAAAAACACATGAAAACTCACACTGGAAAGAAACCCTATGTTAATAAGTAACGTGGCAAAGATTCCATGCAGATGACTTACTGTACTGAATAAATTAAATACCATTAGAAAAATTTGATTAAGGTCTTAGGTATAGTCACGGCTTTATTAGTGCCTTATACTTAATGTAGACCTCTGTTCTATTATTTCAAGTTTTTTTTTTTTGAGAAAAACGCAAAAACTTTTAAGTATTTGCAAGGCATACTATAACAAATTACCATAAAGTTGGTGGCAGAATGAAACAAATTTATTCTCTCATAGTTCTGGTGGCTAAAAGTTTGAAATTTTTAAAAATTATTTGAGACAGAGTCTCAATCTGTTGCCCAGGCTGGAGTGCAGTGGCGCAGTCTCAGCTCACTGCAACCTCCGTCTCCCAGGTTCAAGCCATTCTCCTGCCTCAGCCTCCCGAGTAGCTGGGACTACAGGCCTGTACCACCATGCCCAGCTAACTGTTTGTATTTTTAGTAGAGACAAGGTTTCATCGTGTTAGCCAGGATAGTCTTGATCTCCTGAACTTGTGATCCGCCCACCTCGGCCTCCCAAACTACTGGGATTACAGGCATGAGCCACTGCACCTGGCCTACAAGTTTGAATTTAAGGTTGGCTTTTTCTGGGGGTTCTTAGGGAGTATCTGATCACTCCAGGTTTCTGGGGGCTCACAACAATTCTTGGTATTCTTTGGCTTGCAGATGCATCAGTCCAGGCTCTGCGTCCATTTCCCCATAACCTACTCTGACAGGCTGTGTGTGGCTTTTTTTTTTTTTTTTTTTTTTGAGATGGTGTCTTGCTATATTACTGAGGCTGGAGTGCAGTGGTGCGGTTATGGCTTGCTGTAGTCACAATATCCTAGGGTCAAATGATGCTACTGCCTCAGCCTCTGGAGTACCTGGGAATACAGGTACATGCCACGACACTCAGCTAAACTCTGAGCATTTTATCCCCTTTATAAGATATTGGGTTCAGGGCCTGCCCTAACACATGAATATCTTACCTTGAGATCCTTAATTTTATCTGCTAAGACACTTCTGCCAAATAAGGTTGCACTCACATTCTGGGTTGACATACTTTTTTTTCTTTCTTTCTCCAACCTATATAAGCACTGAGAACTTTTTTTTTTTTTTTTTTGAGATGGAGTCACTCTGTAGCCCAGGCTGGAGTACCCTGGTGCCATCTCGGCTCACTGCAACCTCTGCCTCCCAGGTCCCAGTTCAAGCAATTCTCCTACCTCAGCCTCTCAAGTAGTTCGAATTACTGGCATGAGCTACCATGCCCATCTAATTGTATTTTTCGCTAGAGACGGGGTTTCACCATGTTGGCCAGTCTGGTTTTGAACTCCTGACCTTGTGATCCGCCTGCCACTCCCAAAGTGTGGGATTATAGGTGTGAGCCACTGCGCCCGGCTGAGCTGACATACTTTTAAAGGAGGACACTATTCTACCCACTGCATATCTTTTTTTTTTTTTTTTTTTTTGAGATGGAGACTTAATCTGTCGTCTAGGCTCGAGTGCAGTGGTACAATCTCAGCTCACTGCAACATCCACTTCCCAGGTTCAAGCAATTCTCCTGTCTCAACCTCCCAAGTAGCTGGGACTACAGGTGTGCACCACCACACCCGGCTAATTTTTGTATTTTTAGTACAGATGGGGTTTCACTATGTTAGCCAGGCTGGTCTCGAACTCCTGGCTCAGGTGACCACCTACCTCAGCCTCCCAAAGTGCTGGGATTCCAGGTGAGCCACTGTGCCTGGCCACATTAAATTTTGGCATGTAGAGTTGTAATTATAAACTGCTTATACAAAAAAATTGTCTAACTTATGAAGTCTTTTGGACCCACAGCTCTCTTAGAAGTGTTTTCTAATATATAAAAGTCTGGATTTAAATACTTTTATTTATTTCTAATTTTCTTTTTTTTTTTAAAGATGGGTTTCATTATGGTTTCACCATGATGGCCAGGCTGGTCTTGAACTCCTGATCTCAGGTGATCCACCCACCTCAGCCTCCCAAAGTGCTAGGCTTACAGGCGTGAGCCACCGCGCCCGGCCTCTCTAATTTTCGTTACATTCCAAACGTGGCTATTATGATGATACTTTGGTATCATCAGGATTTTATCACTTGCCTAATTTCAAAGATATAATCTATCTTTTCTTTTCTCTTTCTTTTTTTTCTTTGAGATTGAGTCTTGCTCTGTGCTCAGGCTGCAGTGCAGTGGCACGATCTCAGCTCACTGCAGCCTCTGCCTCAGTTCAGGAGATCCTCCAGCCTCAGGCTCTCAAGTAGCTGGGACTACAGGTGCCCGCCACCACGCCTGGCTAACTTTTGTATTTTTAGTAGAGACAGCGTTTCACTGTGTTGGCCAGGATGGTCTTGATCTCTTGACCTCTTTATCCCCCAGCCTTGGCTGGGATTAAAGGCATAAGCCACTGCGCCTGGCCCCTCTTTTGGGACCAGCCTGGCTAACATGGTGAAATTGTCTCTTTACTAAAAATACAAAAATTAGTCGGATGTGATGGTGCACGCCTGTTACCCTAGCTATTTGGGAGGCTGAAGCAGGGGAATCATTTGAAACTCGGGGCAAAGGCTGCAGTGAGCCAAGATCATGCCACCGCATTCCAGCCTGGGTAACAGAGCAAGATCCCATCTCAAAAACAAAAAGTCCGGGTGCAGTGGCTCATACCTGCAAACACAGTAGTTTGGGAGGCCGAGGCAGGCGGATTACCTGAGGTCAGGAGTTTAAGACCAGCCTGACCAACATGGTGAAACCCCATCTCCACTAAAAATACAAAAATTAGCCGGGTCCGGTGGTGGGCTTCTGGCTTGAACCTGGGAGGCGGAGGTTGCAGTGAGCCGAGATTACAATACTGCACTCCAGCCTGGGCGGCGGCGCGAAACTCTGTCTCAAAAATAAATTCATAAATAAATAAATAAGAGAGATACGCAGGTGCCCCCAGCTTAAGAATATTTCCCTGGAGGCCCGCCATGTGGCCGTGTGGTGACCGGAAGTGGGAAAACAGAGGATAATCCAACCTCGAACTCACATTCCTCGGCTACAGGAACCAGCGCTGCCGCCGCGTCAGCTCAGCCGCAATTCTGCAGTCGTCACCCTGCGTCACATCCGGAGAGGCCGCGCAGCTCACAGCGGCCACATACCCCGAGGCTGCCACGCGACTTCCGGTCCGGAACGCTAGCCGGAGGCCCAGGACCGCACATGCGCAGTCCACACCGAGGCCCCGCCCGCTGGCTTCCTGCTAGTCCTTAGACACCAGGCGGGGTCAATAGTGCCCTCGCCTCCTCCACTGCCTGGGGCACCACTCGGGGAACCCAAGCTCTCTAGGAAATGTGGCTCAAAAAAGGACAGCCCTCAAACGCTAGGGGCCCGCCCCTCAGATTACCCCCAGCCTCCAAACCCGCTGTGCCGCGGAGCCCGCTGGGAGTTCCGACCGTGGCACAGCGCACAGGTGCACGGGCTGTGCGTCCTGCCGGGGACGTCGTGTGGCTGTTTCTGGAAAGCTCAGAAGGAAGGGGCTCCACCACAATAAGGATATATGTATCGAAATATATCGAGCGGTGCAAAAGGCATAGTTTTCCAAAGATGTAGCAACTTAGCATTTCTTTATTCCCCCCCCCCCCTTTTGGAGATGGGGTCTCACTATGTCGCCCAGCCTGGTCTTGAATTCCTGGGTGCAAGCGATCCTCCCACCTCACCATCCCAAAGTGCTGGGACTACAGGCGTGAGCCAATGTGCTAGCCACAACTTAGCATTTCTGTTGCACATACTCACCAACACCCAGCATTTTCCTGGATGTTTTTGGCTTTTAACCAGTATGGTAGGGAGTAGTAGTATCTCATTTGGGCCCTAATTTGCATTTCCCTTACGAAAAAAATTGAATTATCATTTAAGTATTAGCCATTTGGATAAGCTTCCTTTGTGAATGACTAATCAAATCTGTAATTTTCCTCCTCTGCCTTCTTAGGAGCAGTTATGTTGTGTATGCAAGCCCTCAGCCAGGTCTATGTATTGCACATTTCTTCTGCTATTCCATAGACCCTCTTCTCACTCTCCCACGCTGCCTTTTGTTTCGTAGCTTCTAGTATCAGGTAATTCTATTCTACGGTGTCTTTGTGTTTTCAGAAATGTTTGCCTATTCCAATTCATGATCTCTTATGTTATCTTCAGTGATAAATCTGGAAAGAATTTACATTCATGGCATGGTGTAGAGGTCTGGATACATTTTGTTTTGTGTAGTTTCTGGCAGAGGTAGAGGCAGAGACATGACCAGGCGGACACATACATATTGGCTGGAAATGCTCTTAGAGGAAGGGGGAGAGGTTCAGCTCACATCCACTCAGAGAAGCACTGAAGAGTTCTGGTGGATGGCGGGTGGTACAAAACTGGAAAAAATGGTTGTGACCATAAATAAGGCCACGTAGCACTAAATGCGAGCCTCCACTGACAGCCACTTGGTAGGACACAAGGTCCAACGGTAGAGGACCTTACAAAGCTTCCTGGGCCCCACGTGTGTGTAGAGGGGGTGGGCTGCTTCAGCCATAGCGTTGGTCTGAGCAGCAGGCTGAAGACCACAGCCATTGCCTTTGCTGGCTTGAGCTGGTTTAACCCTGTTTTATTAACTCCGACACATGCTCTCTGCTACCATCTAGTGATAAGTAATAAAAACGCAGACGCCTTAATATCTTAAAACTAATGACAGCCTATTTACACTTAAAACTAATGACAGGCTATTTACAAGACTGCAGAGGACCACGACTTGTACATTTTAGAGCTCAAGGCATAATAACCTTGCTCTTTTGTGACGGGCTTAACTTTCTTTCACATTGGATTAAATCTGGACGTACTGATAATGCAATAAAAATGGACACTTGTGTGCACAAAAAAAAAAAAAAGAAAAGAAAAATGATACCGTACTGTTTTGGGTGCTAACACTGTGACTTGCTGTAAAATTTCCCACGGTTCCCAAGATAAAAAGACATAGCAAAATCCCCATAAGATCGAATGCCAAAAAAGCCACTCCAGTTTGTGCAGGTGTGGAGATGGAGAATGGAAA